CGAGAGGTCACGGAAACCTTTCCAATGTAAGTTAAATATTAATATAATAATTAGATATTACAAATAATTTGGTAGAAAAACTGTGTTTTTACTTTTATTGGTGCAAAGATGAGTTGTGGTGATATTTATTTTGTACAACATTTGCAACTGCTTTTTATCATTTAATTAGAAGCACCACAAATTAAAATTATGTCATGTTATAGGGACTACTGGACAGACATTTAGAAGTTGATTTTAAAATGCAAATATATAGAGAGAGAGAGAGAGAGAGAGAGAGAGAGAGTCATGGTCAGAATTATTGGCACCCTTATTAAATATGATCAAAGAAGGCTGTGAAAATCATTGAGTAAAATCTCTGAAAGTCTGTATTCCCATTCATACAAATACAATTACAATTTTTAGTACACTAGGGTGATCAAGCCATCCCCTTGTCCAAATATTGGACAAAGCCCATGACTTCCTGTTTCACAGGACTATAAATATGAGGGAACACAAAGGCCAAATTCCCTTAATCATCCATCACAATGAGAAAAACCAAACAATATAGTTCTGATGTGCAGCAACAGATTGCTGACCTTCACAAAATATGAAGTCCAGAAGTAGCACAAAATAGGAAGTCGAAAAAATTTAAGAAAATGGCTAAAGCATTGAAAATTTCCCTTTCTACCAATAGGACAATACTTAAGGAGTTCCAGTCAACAGGAAATGTTACGTATCTGCCTACAGTATATTGTCTAATGTGTCTATATTGTCTTGATGCAGCGTGAAGAGGATAGTTTGAGTGGCCAAAGACTCTCCAAGGACCACAACTGGAGAATTGCAGAAAATAGTTGAGTCTTGGGGACAGAAAACCTCAAAAATAATAAATAAATAAATAAAAATAAAATCAAACAGCACCTACATTACAACAAGTTGTTTGGGAGGGTTTCAAAAAAATAAATAAAATAAAAGCAGATTAATTTGCCACACACTACTGGATCTTCAATTGGGACTGGGTTCTATGGTCAGATGAAACTAATAAATGAGTTTTTTAGCAGCAAACACTCAAGGTGGGTTTGTTGCACACAGGGATAAAAAGGTGTACAATGAAATATACTGTTGTATCTTTTATGTTTGGCCTATTTTTCTGCTGGAGGTCCTGGACATCTTTATAAGATATATGGCATCATGGACTCTAGCAAGTACCAACAGATACAAAAATCAAAACCTGATGTTCCCTGCTAGAAATATTATAATGGGCCTTGTTTGGATATTCATTCCATAAGGACAATGATCTAAAAAAAAAAAAAACACTTCATCAAAATCAACACAAACATGGGCCACAAAATGCAGGTTCTGCCATGGCCATCCAAGTTCACTGACCTGAACCCTATAGAAAACTGAAAGGAGAGTGTATCAACATGCACTTGGAAAGCTGAAGGAGTTGGAGAGATTCTGTATGGAGGAGTGGCGACTAATCTCTTGTCATATGTTCTTCAGCCTCATCAGGCATCTGATATCTATTATCTTGACAAAAGGAGGTTGCAAAAAGTATAGAATAAAAGGTTGCCATTGATTGTGGCCAATGAGTATTAGAGAAACACATTTATTTCAGAATGAGATTGATTAACAGTGCAGATTTATTTTATCACAGGCTTCTTTATTCATATTTACAAAGGGTGCCAATAATTTTGTAATTTTGTAATGTATATAAAACTGGAAAAACAATGTTAATTTGAATTTAAAACTTCCTCCTGGGGCGGGTTGCATAAACTGCTTAGACTAGTCTTAAAAAGTTAGTAATCGAATTTCTTTTCAATTACAAAAAGGTAGATTGGTCTAATGTGAGTCCAAAAAGTAAGACTGATTACCCCTTGACTAACTGCTAGTTGGTCTAACTAGTTGGTAAGACACAGTCTTAACAGTGTCTATGTTTATGCAACTGGCCCCTGGTTTAACTAATTTAAGCCTCAATTTAGTCCTAAAAAAGCTCTCGTCTTCCTCCAGCAAACTGGCCTATAAAACTCTGGACTAGACTAAGTCTAAGACGATTTAAAACCATGACAGAAAAAGACGATTTCTGTTAATATGGTTTAAAGGGCCATTTTAGTCTAGGATTAGGCTTAATCTCTGTCTGGAAAACCACCCCTTTAGATACAAAGATCTTAAAGGTGCTGGAAAGCTAATGCATATGAATCGAGCAGTTTATTCAAAGTTTTCTGAAGAGATACGATCACTATATGATAAACAGATTTAATTTAACACTGAATTGAACATGAAACTCATGCTTGTCACACGCTAGAATAAACATTTGAGCTTCCATGCTTTCCATATTTAATGTGCTCTCTGTATGTGTGGCGTTATTGTTTATGATTGTTAATGCAAGCCTAATTAAATGTCCATCATATAAAGTGATTGTATCTCTTTTGATTAATTTTTGGATTAGTTTTCTCTTGGCTCTTCAAAGTTTTGTTTGCGCAGACTTTCAGTGGAGGGACAGAAACCTCAGGTTTCATTAAAAATGTCTTCATTTGAGTTTTGAAGATGAATGGGTTTTAAACGACGTGAGGGTAAGTGGATGAAGACAGAATTCAATTTCATTTTCGGGTGAACTATCCCTTT